CAGGATTTCCCGTTCCCAAACCTTGGCCAGATCGAGGAGGAGGCTGTGAGGAAGAGGAGATGCTCCGAGATACCCAGGCAGGTGAGGAGGACATCGCTTGACCTCGCATCCCTTCTTCTCCCTCTGTCCTCCTCCGGCCGAGCGTCGCTTCTGGCTGTAGGACAGCCCCGTTGGTGACGCCGTCCTCCCCGGGGACGGATCCGGGAGGATCTCCTTCCCCTTCCCTCTGGCACGGATGCAAATCCCTTTCCTCTCCGTCTTCCTTCCTCCGGCAGGGAATGAGGTGGGGATGGAGGACGCCGAGGAGAAACCCCACCGGCAGAGCCTCGCGGAAGAGGCTGTTTTGAAGGGCTCCACGGAGCAGGAGGTCAACGGGGGGGAAAAGCCCAGGAGATGCCCCTCGGGGGGAGGTTGCAAGCCCACCCCACGAAGCTCGGAGGAGGAAAGACCGACCACCTGCGAGGAATGCGGCCGGAGCTTCAGCCGGAGCTCCAACTTGGTGGTCCACCAGCGGTTGCACGCCGGCGAGAAGCCCTACAAGTGCTTGGAGTGCGGGAAGAGCTTCAGCCGGAGCTCCCACCTCCTCACCCATCACCGCCTCCATACGGGGGAGAAGCCCTACAAGTGCCCCGAGTGCGGGAAGAGCTTCAGCGACAGCTCCACCCTCATCACCCACCAACGCTTGCACACCGGCGAGAAGCCCTACCAGTGCCCCGACTGCGGGAAGGGCTTCAACCAGAGCTCCAACCTCACGTCCCACCAACGCACCCACACCGGGGAAAGACCCTACAAGTGCCCCGAGTGCGGGAAGAGCTTCAGCGTCAGCTCCTACCTCATCCGCCACCAGAAGATCCACACCGGGGAGAGACCCTATAAGTGCGAGGAGTGCGAGAAGACGTTCAGCCAGAGCTCCAGCCTCCTCATCCACCAGCGCGTCCACACCGGGGAGAAGCCCTACAGGTGCGTGGAGTGCGGGAAGTGGTTTAGGAACAGCTCGGACCTCATCAGGCATCAGCGGACCCATACCGGGGAGAGACCCTACCGCTGCCCCGACTGCGGGAAGAGCTTCAACCGCAGCTCCAACCTGATGACCCACCAACGCATCCACACCGGGGAGAAGCCCTACGGGTGTCCCGAGTGCGGTAGGAGCTTCACCGTGAGTTCTGCCTTGATTAAACACCAAAGGACCCACCGGGAAGGGAAGCCCTACGAGTGCCCCGACTGCGGGAAGAGCTTTGTCCGCTCTTCGAACTTCATTACCCATCGGAGGACCCATGTTGGGTGAAGACCTGGTGACCCCCGTTGAGCGGAGACCTGGTGAACCACGTTGGGCAGAGACCTGGTGACCC